ATGTTTTGAATTGAAATGATTTTTAGGAAAAATGGCAGTTTAAAAATTAAAATATTTAGATCGTTAAAGTTCAATATAGAATAAACTCTACAACTAGTCTATTTTTTACTATAAAGTGGGGGTCGCTTTACAGAGAGAATTTGTGCATGTATGTCCAAGAATTTAGGACGTTATAATTGATGGCTTGCTTGACTTTCTCCAAACGAGGGCCCCGGCCCTGTCCTCCTATTCTCAAGATTTTTTCATATATGACAATTCATGCAAGCTGTCGTTTTAAGTTAAATGGCAAACATAAAACGCCGTCGTTTCAAGGGTTTCGGTTCGGTTTCTAAACTCTTAAGACCAAAACCGAACCAATAGAATTTGGTTAGGATTTCTCAATTTGGTTCCTTTTTTTTCTTATCCAATTTTTTAGTTTCAATTCGGTATTCGGATAGATTTGTTTTCCATTTTTAGATTTATTTAACCCACCACTATATATATACCTGATTGTGTTCAATTAATGTTTTTGCTCATTCATGCATCCACATCGCAAAATAGACAAGAGATTTTTTAGTGTAATTAGAACATGGGATGATACATTATGTATCATTATACAAATTATAAAATATACGTGCTATAAATTTAATAACTTAAAAAAATAAATTTTTTTACTACTTATATAAAGATACATAGTGTACTACTCATGTTCTGGTCATAATAGCAAATTTCTCAAAACAGACAATGTATATTGACAACGTTCTGCTCCTTCACGCATCCACATAACAAGACACAAAATTTATATTTTTTGTTCATTCATGCATTCACACGCAAACACATCACGAATAAAAAGATGTACAGTTAAAACGTGACCAGTAAACTGTTACTATTTAAAATATGTGTCTCCAGAACGTTCTCATTAATTTGATGGAACAAGATACCAATCACGAATATAAAACTCGAGCATTGACTAGTATTTTGGATGTGCACATGCAGATGCACAACTGTTTGGAGGCAGATTGTTTGCCCTCCTATTATGATGCCCTTCTTATGCCTTTTTATTTCTACGATCACGGTTAAATCACGTCAAAAATCAATATAAAATGTTGACGTAACTTAACCGTGACCGCACAAAATAGAAGGGTATGGGGAGGGCACCATATTAGGAGGGCAGACAATCTGCCTCCTTACTATTTAACAAACAAAACGAGTGGACGAACTATCGTCCTCCTTTTGCATTTGTTATAGTTTTAGTGCTGCTCCCCAATTTTTTTTTTTTTTTTTTTTGGTCAAAGGGTAAAATTCATTACCAACATGAGAAGTACAACAAAGGCCCAAAACGATATAAACACAGCAAAAGAAAAAGGGCCACCAACACACAGAAAACAAAGGCCCAAGACCAACCTTAGAGCTCAGCACAGACAACCAAACCACATAGAAAACCCTAGGCAACTAGGCTTCCTGAAGCTGCAAACAACGTTGCCACCGTCAGAAAACCCCATAATGCTTGTCACGATCGACCACCATCCACGATCACCTGAGATCAGACCATCAAGAAACCCAAAATTAGTGAAGACAGAGGTCACATCATCATCCAAAGATCAGCACCGGAATAGAAACACGTAGGTACTAGAAAGAACCTATGAATAGGGATGGGCAACGGTTATGGCGGGCGGGTAACCGCGGTTATTTACTCATAACCGTTTATGCTCATACCCGCATAACCGTTTACCCGTTGGGTAATTGCCTAAACGGTTATACCCATACCCATAACCGTTTATAAACGGTTAACCAAACCCTAACCGCACAGCCATTTAGCCGTAACCGTTTAATACCCGTTTACCCATTTACCCTTTTTAACCCGTTTATCTTCTTTTTTTTTTCTACCATTACCCCTTTTTCACCCGTCTACATGTTTTTTAACAACTTGAAAATTAAAAAAAAAATTGTCATAATTTTCTTTTTTTTTAACAATTAAACGCCGTTATAGGTACATTCATCATACATTTCCATATTTTAATTTTTTTAAGTCCTTATACCATTCCAATAATTGAAATAATTGTTTAAGGACGATATTTTTAACTGTTACCAATGAAGGTAAATATAATATTTGGTAAGTATTATTGGGTTACAAAAATTGTTTAGAAGACATTTCTGTCAAAGCATTTCTGTCAATTTCATGGTTACTCGCAAGGAATTTAAATTAATTTGGCGAATTCCTTGATGATGAGAATCATCATTCCTGTAGCAGTGTTATTGAGAGAAGGACCGATGAATTCCTTGCTAATTTATTGGGTACTAAGTATTATTGGATCGAGAACATGGTTTGTGTTAATTTTACATATATAAAATAAATGGGTAAACGGTTACCCGTTTATAACGGCGGTTAATACCTATAACCGCCCAATTAAATTTCACGGGTAAACGGTTATACCCATAACCGTTTATTTATCTAAACGGTTACCCATAACCATAACCGTTTATTTTAAATAGGCGGGTAACCGCGGTTACCCATAACCAATGGGTATTTGCCCATCCCTACCCACGAACTTCAAATTTAAGTCGAAGTGGAGACATGCAATTTGGAACCTCAGACGGATTCTAACTCCAGACAAGTCAAATTTTAACCTATAAATATGAAATAAAAGAAAAAAAAACTTGAATTTAATTTTTGTACCTCTTCATAATTACAAAGAAAAATGTAGGCCTCTTGCAGATCAAATCTTTTTCAGTACAACGATAATTGGGGTGAGGGATAGAATTAAATTAAACTCGTTATTCATGAGAATTGAATATAAGGTTATTCACGTACAATTGAGTATGAATACAACCACATTAGTGATGATTTTTTTTTTTCCTTTTTCAAGTTTGTTATATATAGAGATAAACACTATAAATCAATTGTTAGCAAAATTTTATTTACAGGAATAGCAAAATAGGGAAGACAAAAAAAAGTGACAACAACGTTAAAATCTCAATGAAACGTGATCAATAAACTACTAGTATTTTAATCCCATTATGAACTCGAACATTAGTGCATAATGAGATTATAGTTCACGTTTTAACACTTCTCGTGACGAAGCAAAGTTTTTCGCGTAAACATTAGCACAACGAAAGCTTCATCGCAAACATGTCGTCACGCAAAACTCATGAAGAAAGCGTTTGCACGACTGGCATTCGTCGTGCAAGAGCTCTTGGGCAACAAAGAAGACATTCATCGCATATATATATTGTTGGAAAATTTAATATTATTTTTATTATATTAAATTAATTAATTGAATGGAAATTAGAAGTGATGCTTTTTGGTAGAAATATGTATCTATCCTAATAAGGAGTAGTAGCTTTTGAGTCTTCATGAATGGTCACATGATTTCCAAAGAGATATCTCAAATTCTATAAATAAAGAAGCCCCTTATAAACATAAAATAACTTTTCATTGTTTTGCATAATCATACATAGAGTTCACTAAATATTAGAGAGTCTCATTGAGTCCATATGAGAGGGTTTTCAACACAATCGTGGTTCATGGAGCCTTGTGATTTGGAATGCTACTATTACAAGGACGTGGTCATTGTATCTTGGGAGACAAGCGCCGATCAACCATGAGCACCGTAGTGGGATGTAAACTTGTCTTAAAGACAAAGTGTCCAACACTTGCCTCTACCTTATTTCCAGGTTTTTCTATGTGTATTTATTATTTTGATATATAAGCATGTATTATTTATTAATTTTTCATGTGATTTAATATGGCAATTAGATCTTATTTTTCCAACATATACACAAGAACGAAGCCTTGTGCTGACTTTATGGTCACGATAAAGCGTGGTTAGGTAAGACAAATGAATAGCCTCAATAGCTATATTTTCGGTGCCCCGCCGCCTGCAATCGAAAGTCTATTTGCTCACCAAACATAGGAAAAAATTTTGTGGGATGCCGGTTCGGTGAAGGCTGTGGTCTGTAGGCTATAGGTTGGGGTCGGCTGGGGAATGGGAATTGGGGTTGGAACGGGGAGGTTGGAGAGATTTTTATATGACCGAAACACATGATGATACATTATATGTTATTATACAAATGGTAAGATATATATGTTAAAAAGTTAATAACTTAAAAAATAAAAATTCCCACCAATTACATAAAAACAATTAAGAATGTTGCACGACGAAACGCTTCATCACATACTGTTTTTAATAATTTTTTCGATCAAAACGTTTTTGTGCAACCATACCCTAATATTGTCGCACAAATGTCCATTGCGGGAGGAAATTTGGTGCATCACGTAAAGTTTGACCACACAAATAATTTTTTCTACTAGTGATTGAATATATTAAAGAGGAAGCTAGCAACATATACTTTATATATAATAAGCATGGGCGTGAAGTAAAAAATGGGTATTTGTGAAAATCACTTCCACATCTCTGCATGCATGTGCCCATTTTTTTTTTTTTAAATTGTTACTAGTCATGTGGGGCTGAATTCTATATGAACTTTAATGATTCAAACTGTTTATTTTTCAAGTTGCATTTCATATATTATTCTTGTAAAATATTAATCAAATCAAATTGAAAATGTTTGATGCATCTAATTAAGTTTAAGAGATTACCAAATACTATGTACTATGGAATATTGAAATTTCATCAAACATCATATAGATAAATATTTCGAACTAAAATAATTTTTTTGGAAAGATATTTTATGAATGATTGTTTAAAAAATAAAATGTTTAGATTGTCGAAGTTTGATATAGAATGAACTCTCCAGACTCTATTTTTTATAACAAAATAGGGGTTGCTATAGGGAGAGATTCCGTGCACGAATGGCCAATAATATGGGAGGCTTATATAATTTTTTTTTATCCTAAGGCCTATATATTTGTGGTCTTGCGCAATTTTCTCCACAAGAGGGCCCAGGCCCTGTCCTCTTCTTCGCACGTTTTTTACATGAGAGGTGAAAAACGTAACATGAGAGGTGAAAAAATAAATGTTACTTACATTTTTAAGATTCTTTAAATACAGGGAATCCTTAACCATTTCCCCAACACAAACTCACCCTAAAATCTCTCCTCTCTCCTCTCTCCTTTCTCTTCTCTCTCTCTCTCTGTGACATAGAAATTGCCGATATCCATATGGCTTCTACTATTAATTTCAATGTCCACCACAAAGCTACTGAGCATGAATATGGTTCAGCAGCACTGGAGGTTGAAACACAAGTTAATAATATTGATCTAGCAGTACTGCCAAGAGCTGGCGGAGGAGGAGGTGCCGGAGTCCATAACAACAACCATGCAAAGATATTGGAGAAGGGTGTTTTGCTGACATGGGAGGACGTGTGGGTGACAGTAGTTTCCAAGAAAATTAACAGTATTGGTAGCAGCAGCAGATCAATCCTGCAAGGTCTAACCGGTTATGCCAAGCCTGGGGAGCTCTTGGCTATAATGGGCCCTTCAGGCTGTGGCAAGTCCACTCTTCTTGATGCTTTAGGAGGTAATGATCGATATCCTCCTTAATAATTCTTTCCAATTTCCACTCCACGAAATATAGTTTCAGCATGGTTTAACGATTGCATGCAGGTATAGAGATCAGTATCAAAATTTTCAATGTGGTCAGAATACAAATGGTACGTTACGGCCCTGTTTGGCAGATCGGATAAAGGATCGGATAGGATTAGTTATACGGACCTGGGTATTTGGCGTTCACTCGTACTAAATAAGCACCGGATTAATTTAACCGGTCGGATAGGATAATACGGTATACACCCACTTAATAAAACCAACCAAAACGTTCGGATTATTTAGTCGGGGAAGAAGAATATGGGAGAGAAAGGGAGGGAGTTTGGGGGGTGTGGCGGAGAGAGCTGGGGAACAATTATTTGGGATTCTTCTATCGTCAGGGAAGAAGAAGGGAGAGAGAGAGAGGGTGTTTGGGGGGTGCGGAGAGACCTGGGAACAAAAAAATGATTTCATTTTTTAAATTTTTTTTTTTTAAAGTTTGATGCCTCCTATCTAGTATAATATCAAACACAGTATAAATAATACGATCACTAATCCGATACTGCACCAAACACCCAACTAATTTAGTCAGTACTATCCGGTGGCTATTTATCCTATCCGACAGAAATAGTCAGTACAGTCCGAGCTGCCAAACGAGGCCGACGTGTTACTATACAAATGGTGGGAGATGTGAGTTAAAGAGTCAGTAACTTAAAAAATAAAATTTCTCATCACTTATATAAAAACACGTGATGTATCATCTGTATTTCGATAACAATAAAATATTTCTCCAACATGTGGATGTTATTTTTTCGTTGTCAAATCAAACTATATTTAATAAATCTTGTGAGGAATATAGATTCTTGTGTCAGAGAATTAACAAAATAAAACAAATATAAAGGACAGTTTTGTATTTACGTGTCAAGATTTTTGAGTCAGACTAGTGACCCGTTACTATATTGATACTGTTTTGATTTAATTAATATTCTGTAAAGTTTAACAAATATTTAGTTTTATTACCAAATGCATTTTTATTATTAAATATGAAATCATATAATTATATTAAGTTGTAAATACTTTTGTCAGACTCTTGGTGTTGACTCGACACATCTTCTCATGTAAGACCAAACTTTTATTAGTAGAATTTCAAATTGTCTTGCCCATGTCACTAGTTGCACTTGTGACCTACTATGTTTCACGTGCCGAGTTTTGTTCCTAAAATCGCGGGAATAGGATCTTATTTGATTTTCTTTATGACAATTTTGGGAATTACTTTATTGTGTTCGTTCATCGTATATGATCATAAATTATTTTGAATTTTTTTATTTAAAATTAAATATAAATAATACTTGATAAAAATTAACTACATAATATATAATAAATAGACATAATAAAGTAATTTACGTAATCCTCTCACAAAGAGCATAGAAAGAAATCCTCATCCAAAGCCGCCTATCATTCATAGACAATTACGTTTTGGGAGAATAGCCATGCATTCAGTCAATCTGATTAGAAAGACATGACAATTAAGGCCTGTACCAAAATTGTGTTGTTGCATGATTGAAGATGTTAATTAATTGAAATATGCTAGATTGAAGAGGAGTTCCTCCTGCCCTCAATTTGTTTAGTGGTTAATTAACAAAATTTTATATTTATAATCAGAATTATTACTATTATAAATATTTCTGTTAAAATTAATTTTATAAAAGGAAAATCATTCAAATCAAGATTGTTTAGCCAATCAATGGAAGCAAATATAAAGACAGTTCTAAATGTTTTTATAGAATTTGTGCATCTGTTTTTATGCAGTCCAATGACTAAACGGTCTCATATTTTATTTATTTCTTGCAAATATGGTCTTTACAAAGTGTTTTATCATGTAAACTTCTTTGGTCATAATAAGTGTGAATTAGGTTTCGTAAAATTAGCCATGTTATGACTTAAGGATGAAACATTCTCATCCATTGAGGAGTCAAGTTAATTCCTATTTAACTAGTTGGACTGCTGTGTTCTAAACTAAGTATATTAAAGACCACCCCTATGCGCAAAGGCACTCTAACTTACAAGTCATGTTCATACACTGCAGGGAGACTGAATTCAAACACAAGGCAAACAGGGAAGATCCTAATCAATGGGCATAAACAAGCACTGACTTATGGAACTTCGGTGAGTGTGACTTCAATAATACGTATATTGAATATAAGTGTTTGTATTTTAACTGTTAGATTTAATTCACAATTATTTAAATCTTTTATTTTCAATCTCAGTCATTCATTCTTGCATATCATTAAATGATATGCAATGTCTTGAAGAAATTTTCCTTAATTTTTCACACTTTTATTTCCTTATTTTTTAATAAATCACATCTACTTGCCTGCGGACACAGGCATATGTCGCACAAGATGATACTTTAATAACGACATTAACCGTTAAAGAAGCAGTATATTACTCTGCTCAGCTGCAACTGCCAGACTCCATGACCAAGTCAGAGAAGAAAGAGAGAGCAGAAGTTACAATTAGAGAGATGGGTTTGCAGGACGCCATGAACACAAGGATTGGAGGTTGGGGAGTTAAAGGCATAAGTGGTGGCCAAAAGAGAAGAGTCAGCATTTGCATTGAGCTTCTCACACGGCCTAAACTTCTATTCCTCGACGAACCGACAAGCGGCCTTGACAGTGCAGCTTCTTATTTTGTCATGAGCAGAATTGCAAATCTTGATAAAGGTGATGGAACTCCAAGGACTATTGTTACATCCATCCATCAGCCTAGCTCCGAAGTCTTTCAACTTTTCGATAGTCTTTGTCTGCTGTCTTCTGGAAGAACTGTTTATTTTGGTCCTGCTTCTGCAGCAAATCAGGTGAGACTAGCTCCATGTATATTAGTTGGCTTATTTTCTAATTAAGTTCAGAAAAAAACCTGAGTTATTTGTTGTTAACTATGTACTGCTGTTCCTAATTGATTGCAGTTTTTCACCTTAACTGGTTTCCCATGCCCAACTCTCCAAAATCCATCGGATCACTTCCTTAAGACCATAAACAAAGATTTTGAGCAGGTAAGAAAATCTCTTTGGAAACGGAAAGTCACATGATATGTCGATAAACCTTTAGAAATCTAATAGAACTTTGTAACACATCGCAGGACATTGAGCAAGGCGTAACCACACCAACAGAAATAGCAATTGATACTCTAATAAGATCCTACAAAGAATCTGAAACCTTTCAGCAAGTTCACAGACAAGTAGCTGAACTATGTAAACAGGTAAACTAGTAATCAAATTCATAGAAGTAATTATGCACATAACTTTTTTAAAATACTCATAATTTGCAATAGTTAGCCCATGATTAATGGGGGCAACATCGACTAACCTTAATTGACATGAAATTTAGGACTTCGGTGAAAAATTGGAGAAGAGAAGCCGTGCTGGCTTTCTTACACAATGTCTCGTACTTACAAAAAGATCATTCGTGAACATGCATAGAGATCAAGGTTACTATTGGTTGCGCCTGGCTATATACATCTTCATGACTCTAGGCCTCGGTACTGTCTATCATGAGCTTGGACATGGTTATAGATCTATTCAGGTGAGTGAGAGAGAGATCTTTTTTGTACTACGAATAAAAGGAAATTGTGTCCCCTTAGTAGACGGTTAATTTGAACTAAACATTCATATGTTGCAGGCAAGAGGCTCGCTGCTCATGTTCATATCTACTTTTCTAACTTTCATGGCCATTGGTGGATTCCCTTCCTTTGTGGAAGACATGAAGGTAAATTAATTTAGAATACTTCATTAGCAATTGATGTTATGAATTAGTGTTCCTAAACTCTACTTTCTGATGTTGTAAATACAGGTATTTGAAAGAGAAAGACTAAACGGGCACTACGGTGTCTGTGCATTTGCTTTTGGTAACACATTTTCTTCTGGTCCTTTCTTGGTAATGATTTCGGTAATTCCCGGGGCAATAGTTTATTACCTTGCTGGACTTCAAACCGGATTCGAACACTTTGTTTTCTTTTGTTGTGTGTTATTTGCTTGCATGATGTTGGTTGAGAGTCTTATGATGATAGTTGCTAGTATTGTGCCCAATTACCTCATGGGGATAATAGCTGGTGCTGGAATTCAAGGGCTTATGATGTTATCTGGTGGATTTTTCCAATTACCAAGTGATATTCCGGGACCGGTGTGGAAGTACCCAATGTACCACATTGCCTTCCACAAGTACGCATACCAGGGATTGTTCAAAAATGAATTCAAAGGAACAATGTTTCCGGCAAGTGAAGCCGGAGGGCCGTTCACCCTTAGCGGCGAGCAAATTTTGAGAGAGAGATGGCAAGTGGAAATGGGATATTCTAAGTGGGTGAATGTTGCTGTGTTGTTAGGGATGGTAGTTCTATATCGAATTCTGTTCTTGGTTATCATCAAGACTACAGAGAAGGTGAAGACTGTTAAAACAGCTCTTCTGTCAACGCCTCCTAAGCAAAGCATGCAAGTATTGGCCAATCCCTCCCCTACCCCCGTGCATGGAGAGAACCACTTGCATAATGTCATATGAAGGTGTGTTGAGTAGAGAGATAGGTACTTCAATCAGTAGTGGATTGAAATTGGGAATACTAAAGTTGTACCATCGGAAGAACTTACCACAATGTTTCTCATTTCCTTGTGTAATATGACCTTCTGTAATAAAGTCGTATTTTCAAGTTTTAAGATTGATCTGAAATGCTTTGGTGAAGGTTCCGATCCTCTTCATCGTTGTTTCTCTCTAGTTGTATGTATAAACCAAATCAAGTCGGCTTTATGTTTTCATGCAACCTCATAAAAATTGACACAAATGATCGTTTTTATGTGATAAATATGCATTTCAATTTTTGGGATTGATTCAAATTTATTTTTTGCAGGTTTCGATCCACATTGTCGGTATTGACACTAATGCTCCTTTTATTCACACTCGCCGTTGCTATTTTTTGGTTAAAAACTAACCACAAGTGCTCCTCCCTATGCAATGAAATGCATTTGATATTTTGGGATTGATCCGAAATCATTTGGTGCGGGTTTCGATCCACTTTGTCGGTGTTTCTCTCTAGTTTTACATAGAAGCATATCAAGTTGACTTCATGTTAGCCTTATGTGATCATACAGTTAAAACACAAAGAATAGAAGAACGATAATTAAGTTGACTTTATGCCAGTTGAGCATCAAGGAGCAGGGTCTAGAAGCCTAGACACACGCAACTCAGGCCTTGGCCCAAACCCAAGAAGACAAGAGGGCTTCCCACGCACGAGCACAGCACTTCGCAGGTTAACCTGCTTTAGCGCCTGCACTCATGCACCCAACTCGAGCCGCTCTAAACAGATCAGATCCCAGACTGGTTCAACCGAACCACCAATCGACAACCGAATTAGCTTCAGTTTAGGCTAGACTAACTAGTCTATCAACGAACCAGAAATTGACCCAATGACGCTTCCAACCCTTTTTTTCGTCGATTCGCACCCGTTTTTCAGCATTTCTCACCTTTTTTTTTATTTTTATATATTTGACCCGTTTCGGCTCAAATTTTACCACGATAGCCATTGTTACGACCTAGACCAAGCATCTAGGTGCTACAGCTTAACCTGCAGCGTTCCAGGCCCACGATGAAGTCGAGTAGGCCCCAACAAGCAAGGGCAGAAGGCCAGGTGCAAAACCCAAGTCCAGAAGGCACAAGCTTAGTATGCAGCAGCTCCAGCCTAAACCAAGGAAGTACTTGTTGTAGCTCAGGCAGCCCAAGCCCACTTCCTAACAGCTCAAACCCAAGACCAAATGACGACCTTTGTTCCCAAGAACATGCACGACCCAATGAGCTTATCCTTCCCAAGCCTAAGGCCTGGGATCCCAACTTGAGGCACCCAATGTCTACTACAATTCTACCACTTACAAAGATGCCCATTAGATGAGCTCTGCCAATCTAAATAGTGATCCATACCTATCCCAGCAGGTTACATACTTGACCAGTGTCTTCGCGCGACAATTCAACTTGGCAAGTCAACTCTTCGAGCACATCAAAACACAGCGCACTATTGACGAGTCATTTTGAAGAAGGATGAAAGCTAATAATGATATTCTTTCTAAAAGCATCCCCCCAAGCTGTCACTCAACCAACCATGAACCAAATGTTTAGTCAGCTGCATTCCCCTCATTGACCACCACAAAAACATTTTCTCGTCTTAAACAGTTGTTTCTCGTAGTTAGTCAGTTTTGATCCGACCCTGATTTTCTACTTGGTTTGTCAAGATCAAGGCTAATTTGTACGACGTCCTCGTCTGCTTTCGACTCTAGGGTTAGGGTGCTGTCATCCTAGGGGTTAAGATCGAGTTTGAATTCTTTGTAGCTCGTCTACTGACCCTCTAACTGTGATTGCTATGCCAATTCATCTATGGAATTACTGGAACTTCGCTCTTCCTTTTGGAGCATGTTCATGTTTTTTACAACGTAGCAGTGCACCACTGTTTGGTCTCCTTTTATTTCTTTTACCCTGCATGAGATGTGGTATTTGAGTAGTTAATGATAGCTAAACAGAATAGCTTTCATCTTGTGCAACCAATTCCGACAAAGGATGGCGTTGTAGAGAGTCAGGTAGTCCATAACATGTAAAGTCACCAAGTAGTTACAGGGCTCTACTCAGACTACCAATTTTACTGTCTCTAAGGATTAGACTAGTGCCCCATTGAAGGTATGAAAGGTGGTTCTCCCCTTGTTGATGTTATCAAGAATGCCCATTTTTCTGCAGCATCCTTGAAGAGGACATTCACTCTAGATCCATTAGCCACTAAGACTTGGCTAACCATGGTGTTGGAGATTTGCACCTTGACGACGAGGGCACCGTCATGGGATGAGTGGACGTCTTTCAAGTTTTGATCGAAGAACATTAAGATGTTAGAGTTGATGGTCAACGGTTTGCTATTGAAAGCCATCATTTTAGGCTTCTTACAGGCCGTTTCTCTTTCTTTCCTGGTGTTTCCCAGATATTTTTGCTCGTTGTATATGCAATTTACTTTTGGGAGTGTCTCTTTCCGTAGATATTGAATTGGATGAAGATCTTGGAGTCTTCTTGACTTTCTACGATGCCTCTCAGGGGTAACTTATTATGGCGACGTTATAGGACTCAGGTCAATAATATATGTAGGACTTAGGTGTGCGTTGTTCGAGTCAATGCCTCTTTAAAGCGAAATACGACTTTTTGCAAATCTTTCACTTGCGCTTTTGTGTCGGTGAGTCTTGTGGTTTCTTTGGCTAGTGAACTTCGTCGGACGCCCTCCAAGGACTAACATATCTCAATAACGTCTTCCTTTATCTCGCCTATGACGGTAGCCACATCAACTCAGGTTTAGTCGCTTGTATAGAGATGTCGGGTCCGTAACAGGACGATTTAGGGAAAATATTCATAGAGGTTGAGTGGTTTGGTCGAAAGGAATATGATTTTATCTCTCAATGAAAGCACCAATTATTGGAACTAAATTTGCGCACAGTCGTAGATGATGGATGCACAAACTCAAGCAACCTGCAAAACAGAGAACAACCACAAGCAACCCTTAAACTGGGGGTGGGCATGTCAGCTAATGGGTATCCGACGGTCAAATTAGTAAGTAGTTTTAGACTCGAGCAATGGGCAAGAGAATAAGAGTATAGAGATTGCTTACTAGAAACAAGCCTTAGATAGGTGTACTTATACCGTTTGGGGAGAAACTTTTTTAGGATAGAATCCTCATTCTAAGCCAGGAAAATCATAGAGGATATCTAGATGTAGATATTGCACCTTCATAGGAGTTGTGATTACTTGCGACACGGCGCATGCCAATTCCTAGATTGTGGAACCACCAAGACTTACGAGAAATTTGATTGTGTCTATATCCAGATTTGATTTCGTGTTTTGCGAACAAGCATGGTCATACTAGTAGAGTCATTCAGACTTCGCTTATTACCCTATAATAGAGTGATGAGCACCTCTGCTCCCATTTAGTCCAGCTCCACTTGGAGTTATTAAGTCCATGATCGGACTTCTGATGTAACGATATTCAGATTAGCCTTACTCCATCCCTAGAAAATTATGGTCCAACAGAGATGAAAATCCTCACAACTAACAAAATATATAAATCATGCCATGGCATTTAAAATCAAACCAAAAAAACATAATCCACAATTGTAAGCAAGAAGGTTAGCCCTTGCGTTATGATCAAAATGTAATTCGACAACAACTTGATAACATGGATTAATTATTTCATAATAAATAGCTACGCCTTCTGTTTATATGATCCAAAAATTTACGTAAGTACACGTCATTAGGCCTGGCAAACGGATCGTGTCTGTCGTGTTCGTGTCGTTTTCGTGTAACACCTGTTATCTTAACAGGTCGTGTTGTGTCACACCTGTTATCTTAACGGGTCCTTAACAGGTCGGGTCACTTTACCCAACGGGTAAAGTGACTTGACCTGTTATGACCTGCTATGACCCGTTAAGAAAAATGTATTTTTTTTCTTAAATTTTCACATACCACACATTGCCACATAAATATTACTTCAAAACATTAAAACACATTTATCGTTTAAGTACTACATCTACACTTGAAAATAAGAGCCTAATAAACAAACATCCATACACTACTAGTCTATTACAAAATATTAAATGTGCAAGGATATGCAAAATGAAAGAGTTTTTGTTTTCAAGGTTGTGAAGCCTTTCTCAAAAGTTTAAACCTTGCCAATGGAACTCAAAGCTTGCATATTATTCATTTTACAAAATTCTCAATTTTCATCGATGATCATGACATAAGATTTTGTGGTATCCACTAGTGTAAATATTTTAAATTGAAGATCGAATTCATTCATTATATTCATAAAGGGTCAAGGAGTGTAACTGTAAAAAAAATCATTAAAATCGGAGTTAAAATAACCGTTAAATCGTGATCTTTTGTTGATAACCGTTGAAAAGTTTTGTCTCGTTACTTGATCTCTGAATGTTTGTTTTTTGCGATTTTTGGCATATGCGATCTTGAAGCATATATAAACAAGTTTGATGGTTGAAACGTTGAAATTATTTTTGTAGAATGCGTGTCCAATCAAAACGATAGATTCACTAACACTTAGAGTTTATTTATACTTTCATTAAGTATAACATAAGATTTTGTGGTTTCCACTAGGTTAAATATTTTAAATTGAAGATCGAATTCATTCATTGTATTCATATAGGGTCAAGGAGTGTAGCTGTAAAAAATCATCAAAATTGGAGTTAAAATAACCGTTAAATTGTGATTTTTCGTTGATAACCGTCGAAAAGTTTTGTCACATTACTTGATCTCAGAATGTTTGTTTTTTGCAATTTTTGGCGTATGCGATCTTGAAGTATATACAAACATGTTTGAAGGTTGGATCGTTGAAATTAGTTTCGTAGAATGCGTATCCCATCAAAATAATAGATTCACTAACACTTGAGAGTTTATTCATACATTCATTAAGTATAACATAAGATTTTGTGGTATCCACTAGTGTAAATATTTTAAATTGAAGATCAAGTTGGTTCAATGTATTCGTATAGGGTCAAGGAGCGTAACTGTAAAAAATCATCAAAATCGGAATTAAAATAACCGTTAAATCGTGATTTTTCATTGATAACCATCGAAAAGTTTTGTCCCTTTACTTAATCTCTGAATGTTCATTTTTTGTGATTTTTAGTGT